ACAGTAAGGAAATGATGGCCTTGGTAGAGAGCGGATGTTTACACTGTGATCACTCCACCTCTTTTTTTCTCCATGACCAACTCTGTAAAAGGAGCCTTTCTTTAAGAAAGAATCAGCTCATTATATGTAAGGTGCCATCTCTATGACGTCAGTCATGTCTTGCAAAGCCACACTGAGACTAGGGAGGGGATGTAAGCAAACAGTTTTAGTTAGGGGTTTAAGGACAGATGGGCTCTTTTTCTGAACTTTCTCCTGAGACAGGCGAATAAAGTCTTGCTGAGGAAGGGCAAATGAAACCTTCTGTATCTAGGCTTAAGCTTGGTATCACTGGGTAAAACTTGGCTTGTCTTACTGATTGCTCACGAAATTCCTCACTCACCCACGGGGCCTCTGTAAGTAGCTGGAGAACCGATGTCTTGCTGCTGTAAATATGTGAAGGTGAGTCAGCAGGTGCACAGGCCATGTGCGCCTGACCCGGCTTGTAAGGAAGCAAAGTTCTCTGCCTTTCAGGAAACATGTAGGAAATGATTTTGTGGCCTCCCAATGCCATCATCTTCATTCATTGTATAGTCTACTTCCATTGGAATATTTGGTCTTCAGTAATTTTTCGTGGAACATGAAGAACGGGAGAATAAAATTATTTTAACAAATACTGCATGGCACTAACAAGTCGGGCGGTGTCAGCCCGGCAACGTGATGGTGTTTAAATGCTTTATCAGCACTTCACGGGGCTCAGAGCTGCACTGGCACCCTGAAGACATCTGTGCTTATTCCGAAATGCCCTCCCATGCAGCTGTTGGGTGGCTACACACCCGTTGTCCGGAGTTTCTGCATTTCAGTGCCAAGCCCGTAGCTGTGGAACCAACCTAACTGGCAAAACAGGAATGTAACAAATGATCCCTGTGAAGTGAGTCATATTAACTATTTATATGGACAGGGTTGCTAAGACATTACAGGAAGCGCATGTACAAGGTGCCCTGCTGGGACATGTCATTGGATTAGGGAGACATGTAATTTGTAACCTACAACCTGCTCTCAGGTATACAGTTCTAAAGTTTTGGACTGTAATCAAATCAAACTTAAGACCTGTCTTGGCTTTAGATTGACCCCATCAGTGCTGCTAGAGTTAAAACACAGCAGATAAAAACCTGACCAATTGAGGAAGATACATTTTCTTCCTAGAGCAACTGTTAGCTTTGTTCTCTCTCGTGGAAAAAAAAAAAAGTTTTTACTTTTCAGCTTAACTTCTCGGGGAACATTCGTGTTATTGTTAGTGAGATTCAGCTATTGTCATAATAAAGGAACCAGCCACTGAGGTCCATCTTTGTTGTTCTTACAAACTTTACCATGTTAGGTGATATTATACCTGGAAATGACTAGACTAGCACCAGCTCTCTCAGCATAATTCACGAGAGTGATTTATGACAGTATTTGCAGATTGAGTCAGGGAGGGACGCAGCCTGTTAATGTCATTGGAACAGCATACCACCCGAAGGCAAACTTGCGCAGTTGTTCACTCTGCTAGATGCCAACTGACAGTGTAAATTAGGTTGATTTTCTTTAGAGAGCTCCACTCATTGATTCAGCAACATATATTGAGCCCCTATCGTATACTAGGCTAAGTACTTGGGATACAAAAATGAGAAAGACACAATCCCTTCCCTCAGTAGGGTTACAATATACACGTGCGTTTAGAGGAGGCAGACACACAAACATAATTATAATACACTGTTGGGTGCACTGTTACTAAACACTGAGAGCTCAAAAAAACCTGCTATTTCTAACTGAATACCACAGTGGGTTTTAAGCAGCTAAAAAGCCATTTTACTTACACCAGTTTTCACTCTGTAAGAAAAGTGACTCATAAAGTATTCGGCTCACATTTCAGCTGTCTGTGACCCTCAGCATCATGTGCCTGGATTGCGTCTGAAAGCCCCTGGGAAGCTCGCACCGCTCACTCGGTCTCATACTTAGTTCTGACCATGCCTTGCGGTTGCGTGCACCCTAGGATTTTGTAGTCATTTTATATTTCCTTGAAGGGATCTTCACTAGAGAAGAGGATTTGTAGTAAGCCAGGTATTTTAATAAAGTTTTTTTCCTCCCACTTTCTCCTATAACAGGGATTGGCAAACTTGTGCTAGAAGGGCTAGATAGTAAATATTTTAGGCTTTGCAGGCCATGCGTTCCCTGTCCCACACACTCAGCTCTGCCATCTTAGCAGAAAAGCAGCAGACAGCACATAAACAAATGGGCATGGCTGTGTGCCAATAAAACTTTATTTACAAAGTCAGGAGATGGGCCAGATTTGGCATGCAGGCCATAGTTTACCAACCCTGCCCTATAACAACATTTTTTTTTTTTTAGTCTTGGACGTTTAAAAAGGTACTGAGGGTAGGCTGTAAGGAGTAATGAGCATTAAAGCTGGGGTCAGGAAGCCTGTGTCGAGGCCCCAAATCTTCCACTGCCGCTTTCATTTGATGCATGTCAGTGATTTCCTTCAGCCGGAGTCTTCTCAATGAAACGAGAATATGGACAAAATCACATCTAAGATGCCTTTGACCACTGTCATTTTCTGTTTCTGGAAAGACACAGGATCTGATGAAATCCACCAACGATAGGAAATTTAGAGAAATGTTTTGCATCCACGGGGATCCAGGTAGACTGGAATCATGCACTAAATCTCACCAAGTGAAATTGAGTAGGAAAAAGTGTCGAGTCTAGTACTTAGGTTTTGAAAAGGTTCAGTGACATACAGACAGGATGAGAGAGCCCTGGGCTACAGCCACACAGGTAAGGGGTTTGAGCTGATGACTAGCTCAGTGTGAGTCAGCCAAGTGGCTGCCCCACGGGGCAGGGTCATTTTAAGCTGCACTAGGGGAGAAAAGTGTCCAGGAAGAGAGGGCAGGAGCCCTTTCTAAGCCCCGTGCTGACCACACTTCGAAGTGCTGTGATCAGTATTAGACACTGCCACTTAGGTCAGACGTTGACACCCTGGAGAGTGTCCAGAGCAGAGGGAATCCCCAACCCTTCCTGGAGAGGAGGTTGAAAGAAGTGGCTGTGTTCAGGAGGGGGAAGGAAGCAGCAAGGGAAGGAGACCAGGGATATGAAAACTGCTAAACATAAGGGTCCTTATAGAAAATGACTTTCCAAAAAAATTGACTATCTTTAGCATCCAAATTAGTACCCAAAACATAATAGGCTCTCAAATATTTGTTGAAAGAAAGCCTCTAAGTATGTGAAGAACACTCAAGTGGAAGAAGTATTCTGCTTGTTCTTGGTGGCGTCAGAGATCAAATTAGGACAGTGGGAGGAAGCCACAGGAGGCTGCCTTGGTCTGAGCACGAGGACATGTAGTCTGTTTTGGTACCTGGGAGGCAGCCAGAACGCTGCTTTGGGACCCAAGGTCAATCTGAGCAGGTGATCACCGAGCCTGGTGGTCACCTGCGAGCCACATTACATTCAGCTGCCCCTGAGGGCAGTTTCTTCACGTCACCTTAAGGCCTCTTTGGGCCTGAGAGTCTGATGTGTTTGCATTTTCTGCAAACATAGGTTTCCTGTCAGCCCATACTTCTGTCTCCCAAAGTGCCATGTGTATTGGTGATGATTGAGGTGGTTTAGCTATTACACAGACTGATAGTTTTTATTTTAATATTTGTATATATCTCTTAATGCATATTAGAAAAATAAAGCTAGCACATCATAATTTCATAAATATTATATAACACAAGGCTGCACTGAAAAAGCAAGTGAATTTAAAGTTGATTTAATGAAAGATACAGTATTAAGTAAATAACATACACATATATTCAGATATGGCAAAAACTGAGAAAGTAGTTTGTGAATAGCTTAAGTCTGTTTTAATTTTATTAAACTCTCAACTCAGACATATAAAAGTCACTTTATTTTTCTTACTAGTCTCTCAACTCCGTCTTCCACCTGTAATAGGATTCTTTTCTCTATCACACAATCCCATCACTGGACAAGACTCAGGTGATTTCCTTTAAAAAAAAATGCAGTAAGGCCAATGGAGGAAATTCCATAAGAGAAAAAACAACAGAGGGAACAAGCAGAGTCTTATAAAATTAGGTCACCCCAACTTACCCGTTGCTCTCACTCCCCATTCAGTGTGCCTTCCAATCTCTGAATGCTTGTGTAAACATCTGACATAGGGTAGATGTCCTGTATATTTTTCATTTTAAACTTAACATGTCAGATTGCTTATTGCAGACTCCTCCTTACTGCATGTTTTGCTCTCGGCATTGTTGGCCACTTGTCATTCCTCAGACCTAACATAGTCATTTTTCATACTTCACTTTGACCTTGATGTGCTTGTAACTAAATGGAATTCACACTGTAGGTCAGGTGCTAGACCTCCAGCCTCTTCTCCAAATTCTTTCCTTATGAAGCTTCAGATACCCTCATTTTTCCTGTCTATAATTTTCCTTGGTGTTTTATAATTTAAAGTTCTCCCTTGAACCCTATCATTCCATTTTCTTTTGCCTCTGATCTTCCTAGGGGGTCTTGTATCTGTAAGAGCCTCTCACCGATTCGCTCAAGTCTCCTTCATCTTGCATTTCAAGATGTTTCAGAGGGACTCGGTGTCCCATGGGTGTAGGTAGCAGATGCCTCTGGTTTTACCCTGGTTTAGTACAGCTTTCTCACTGCACTCCCTTTCCTTGTAACCTTGCTCCAAAAATTTAAAATATTTACCTCCTTATGCATATTTACACAGTCAGCCTATATATTACCTGTTGTATCCATGGTCTGAAGATAGCTTTAGTTTTGGACATGCTCATATAAAACGTCCGTTTCTCTATTCTGGGTCAAGACATGGGTGAGATCAGGAATCATGATCGTTCCATTTGTTTTGGACAGTCCTGGAAAGTGGACAGTTAGACTTGTAATGAGTGTGCTATAGACCGTTGAACTCTGTAGAAAATGTGCCCAAATATAAAAAGAAAGAAAATAACTGGTGGTTCTTTTTGTGGATTTTTTTAAAGGCTGGATTACAGTGGACCTTCCAGAGAGTTTTTCTTCCTGGTGTCTAGAGAACTCTTTAACCCATATTATGGCTTATTTGAATATTCAGCCAATGACACATACACAGTACAAATAAGTCCTATGTCTGCTTTTGTGGACAATCACCATGAATGGTAAGTAATCCCCCCACCCCCAACACTTTTCTTCTGTTGATTTCTGTGATGGTCGTTTTTATAGGAATCTACATTTCTAACATTTTTTTCCTTGGAGAAAATCATATTTTCAGCGAAACATCTCATTTGACTCTTATTTTTGTTGTCAAATTATACATACAGGCAGTCTCCAAGCTAGGAATAGATTATGTTCCATGAGACCAATTTTAAGTGAGCTGGGTAGAATTCAAAAGGTTACTCCCATTGAGTGAAAGGTATGGGTGATGTTAGGTTCCCGGGGAGATCCCCAGCTCCCTCTCTGCACCTCTGGGCATCCCTTTGAGGTGGGTGAGTGAGTAGGGGAAAGTCCTGACCCAGAGGTCAGGCAGCTTCTAGAACAGCCCTTAGGAAGTGGCTAACACTGGGGTGGGGGGGTGCAGAGAGAATGGGGTGACCTGGGCAACTCATGGCAGAAGGGCAAGAGTGTGGAGCCACAGCAGTGGCCACTGGGACCCTATTAGCCACTTGAAGTTTGTGGCCTGTGATTGCCCCTTTTTCTAATTTCTCACACAAAATCATCAAGGAAAACTGGTACAGGATTCCCGTCTGGGGATTATTTATTCTGAAAATCCCAAATTGCACTCTTACTCAACATCCTTACATTTAAAAAAAAAAAAAAATTCCTGCATGTATAGACTTTAAATAGTATCATAATCCCCATTTGCTTGTTTCTGTTCATTTTCACTGACAGTGACCAAAAAAGAACACAAGTAGGACTCATGAAAACATTTCTTGGAGTCATGAGGTTAATATTGGTGGGTGGAGGGCATTAACTTTTCGGACTTCTTTTTCAAATTAACTTCCGTTTCGCTCCATTTTGGAGTCCTCCCAACTGTAGCTGTTGCAGTTACGCTAACATAAGTGGAAAAAAAGAAAAACAAAGCTGCCGGACATCAGTCCTAGAATGGCTGCCTAACACAAAGTGACACGGGCCCGATAGGAGGCTCATTTACACTCTTGGAAGGCATCGGACTTTCAAAGAGCTAGAACCTTGAGTGCTTTGGAAAGAGAAAATAAGGGTACATCTCAAGTCAGCAAATCCAGTCATGACAGATATATTTAGTGAAGTTTCCAGAGTGATTCAGAATAGACTTGAGCCTTGAAATTTTAGAGAACAGAATGTCCCAGGAGGAAACTCCCACAAATGTCCACATGCATTGTTCTTGGATGGTTACAGTGATGATCAGGAGTGGAGTTTGAGAGACAGTAGGGACAGGAACTTCTCACTCTGAGACAGGGATTTTTTTCAAAAGGGAATTGCTCCTGGGTTTGTATTTGAGAAATCCTGTTAATATTCATGCAAACAAATTAGAAGAAGACAACATTTTCTCCACCACATTGGTCTCATTCTATCAAAGTCTCTTAGAAGTGGTTTGGGGACGTTTCACTGACATGCTAACAGAGAATTCCTGATGGCAGTGTGGGGTGCTGTGTAGTAGTAGACGTTATTGACACAGTGTGAAGGTGGAGCAGGATCTCTCTAAATATCAGAGTGAAACACATTTCTTCAACAAGTAGATGTGAATATTGGCCTAATGATGACATAGCCTACAGTGCATACAAACTCTCACGGACCTAGTACGCAGTTAATTGTGGACAAACTTAGACGGTCAAAGTTGGAAGGCATTTTCGAAAGCCAATAAAACTATTTAGAAACTGCTCCATGACTTGTAAGTGATCACATGCTTTTCCTTCACAGGTTCCGGTTCAGTGGTAGGATCCTGGGTCTTGCACTAATACACCAGTATTTATTGGATGCCTTCTTCACACGGCCCTTTTATAAGGCTCTTCTCAGAATGTAAGAGTATTTTTATTGCTTGTGTAATTAGCATGGAAGAATGCAATATTTTCTTTACTGGAAAGGGTTCCAATCTGTTGTCATTAAACTTAATAGAGGTTTAGATTTCTGAAACAAATATAGTTTCAAATATAGTTCCTGTATTTTTCCTGCTTCTGATCCTTTGTTTCTGTCTCTGACCCAATGTCTTAGTTTTTCTGTACTTGAAATAATTTATTCTCATATGTTGCAACACATGTTTCTTAAAAACAATTGTACTTCAAATACAGCACTGGAATTCCTGTGGTATTAATGCCGATTATTAATAGAATAGCTGTGGGTTAGTCTGGGTGACTCATAGTCCCCTATCTGTTATGAGATGTACTTTATATTTTGCTTTAGGCAAACTTTCAACTGCCTCTTCGTGGTTTACATTTTTATTCTGCTTTGTTTTGTTTTTGTCTAATTTTGTTTGTTTGTTTGTTTGTTAGAGGTGGGCAGTCCTATATTTTTCATGAGACCTCCCTACACGCAAGACAATAATTTATGATGGCAGATAAAAAAATTAGCATTCACAGAACTTTTCTTCATTGTTATCACAATGAAAGATTGCAATTATTGTAAAATGTAAAGCAAAACAGTGCCTGTCCTGTAATCAGTGGTAATTGACAAGGCCGAACAGGGTAAGGCAGCTGTCTACGGGGGCAGTGGCTCAGACTTGCAATGAAAAAGCACAGAATGACTGCTCGGATCTGTGTAGCTCATTCCCTAAGTGAGGCTAGGTACCTGCTTTCTGTAAAATGGAAGCCTAGACCTCAAGTGAAAAGAAGGTGTTTCTAGTGGCCTCTTCAGAGGGTCAGTAGGAAGACTTATGCCGTCTTCCCTTTTGGTATCTGGACAGATGAAGCCCTGGGCAGCTGAGCACTGGGCGTCTTCTGTGGTTCCCCCAGGTCATTTTGCATCTTCCCATTTCATTACCTTATTTCTCACCTCCTCATTTAAGCTTCCCGTAAGAATAGTCTATACCAACTGTTACACACCCTCAACACACTGAGCCTGGCTTCTTTCCACCAGTAGCCTATGGAAGCCTTTGAAGAACAGTTTTTAGATCCTCTCTTAATGGACCGTCTGCTGCTTCTGATACTGTTGACCACCCCTACCCCATCCATGTATCTTGAGTCTTACCTCATGGCATCCATGGCTCTGTCCTATGCCTGTCCTCTGCTGTTATGTCTCCTCTGTGGGCTTTTCCTCTGATTTTCCATTAAACCTCCGTGTTCCTGAAGCTTCCATTCTTGGCCCCCTTTTTTCTCTCTCTGTTCTCACAGGGAAATCCCTTCACCTGTTTCCTTTCCCACTGACGCTCAAATCTGCACACTCGGTTTTGATTTCCCTTGAGTTGTGGGCTCAAGTGGCCAACATTCCACTGAATATCTTACTTGCATGTTTCACAGGCACCTCAAAATCAACGTGATTAAAACAAAACTCATCAACTTCCCCTAACCTGAAAATGTACCTTTTCCCATTTGTCCAATTACAGTTCACAGTCCCAATATTCTCAAGTCTCTCTGGTCAGAAATCAGCAGTCCCCCTCAGACAGGAATGGCAGGTACACAACATGTGTCCCACTCTTCCCCACCTCCCACCCATTCCCATGATATAGTTCACAAGTCATTTATGGTGCTTTTTCCTGCTGAACTTATTGTGCCCTCAGGAATTTTTTCACTTATAGCCCTCAAGACTGGCAATTAATCTGAGTCAACATGAATTTATTTGCCATTCCTATCTTAGATATCTTTCTTTATGCCTCCCCAGGAAACCCATTTACTAATTTCTACATTTGCCTCCTAAATAATTTTTAAATTCATCTTCTCCTCTCCATCCTTAATAACTGTGCCCTAATTAAAACCCTGGTCTTATTTTTTCCTGATTACTATGGTGGTCTACTAATTGGTCTCCACCCTTTAATAATAACCACACCTCCCCTTGTTTTAAGTAATCCGCTAGACTGTAACTTCCAGAGAAACAATTTAAAGTCATATCTCACATCTGACCGTGTTATTCCCTATCTTAAAACCCTTCAATAATTCTGAATCACCAAGCTCCTTAGAACAGCCTGCTCCCAGCTCCTAGCCTCATTCTCTGGACATTTTGTCTAGTGGTTAACTCTCTGGTCCTGCCAATATGCTTGGAGTATTCCACATATTTCATGCCTTTATGATTTGTTCATGTTCTGTCTTTTTCTTTGTCTTTTCCCCTTTTCCTCCTCTTCATCCATTCTTCTTTACCTCTCTAGCTTTTAAACATCCTGCAAAATGTAATATAAGTATCATCTACACCAGAAAGCTTTCCTGAATATCTAGGTCGAAGTAAATGTCCTTCATGTTTGCTGTGAGAGCTCTCTGCACCTACCTTATCTTTTTATTTTCTAATTGGAGTGTAACATACCTATAAACAATTGCACAAATTATAAGTGTTACCCACCCTAGGCTATAACTAATCACCTTATATTAACTCATCAATTTGTGTGCCTGTCTCCCCTACTCAACCATTATGTCCTGGAGGTCAATTAGTGTTTAACAAGTAGCTATTAAGATATCTGGCACATACTTGATGCCTACTAAATGTTTAGACTAAACCAAACAACATGACCTTTGAAATTGGGCTGATGGGAGGAAATTTCAAAACAACTAAAGCAAATCAAATGTTACCACCTTATATTTACATAATAGTTACCCCACCTTCTGTAGATCCTCTCTCGGCAAGAAAAAAGAGGGGATAGCTATAGAAAACTATTACAACTGTAGAGAGATTCTGTGGCTTGCTATTTTCAGAATCAAGGAAAAAGTGAGAACCATGAAGGAAAAGGGGATATATGTAAACGTGGATCATATCTAGTTTTAGAGGGGCTG